ACCCCCGGGCCCCGCTGGGGAAGGAGGGGGGGGGGGGGGGGTAAAAAGGAAAGGGGCAAAGGCGGCAGCGAGGCGCAGAGACCCCGCGGAGGTGGCGGTGCCCCCCGCACGCCCCCTGCACACACTCACCGTGCGGGCCCGGGGGTCCCGAGGGAAGGGGCGGCGCCCCCCCCTCCCCCCCATCCCCGCTCCACATCCACCCTCGCGCTTACCTTTAACAGCAAGGCCTTCGTTCTGGCGCCATCTTCATGAAGCCTCAGAAATCCGAAGAGCCGGCTGCGAGGAGGGGAGCGGGCGGGAGGGAGGGGAGAGAGAGGCACCGGCGTTAGCGAGAGTCAGCGCGGCGGGCGGGCGAGGGCAGAGCGCGGCCCGGGAGCGGCGGCGCACGGGGAGCCGCGGGCAGGGGAGCGGGGGGACACGGAGGGAGCGCGGGCCGAGCCGGGACACGGAGGCGGCCGGGGCGCAGTGGGGAGCGGGTACCTGTCGAGGCCGGATAGGGCTTCTCTCTCCTGGGCTGTCAAGCTGGCGAAGTCCTCCTCGCTCTGGCCGCTCGCTTTCCCCGCCGCCATTTTCTTTTCCTCATCACCGAAAGGAGCAGCAGAGGCGGCGGCGGCGAGCGACACTCCGCACGATTTCATGGAAACGCAGCGTAATTAACTCGCGGATCGCACCCCCCCCTCCCTGCGCGCCCCCAACACCCCCCAGCGCCGGGCGGGGCGGGGTGCCCGACACACACACACCCCACAACTTTTATTACAACAACAACAGCCGGCAGGGAGGGGGAGGGAGGGAGGGAGGGATGGAGGGAGCTGGGGTGCCTGGGAGCGATCGGGCAAGGTGGAAAATGGGAGACTCGGGGGAGGAGGAGGAGGAGGCGGCGGCTGCGGATGGCGGCGGAGCGGTGTTTACATCGCCGCCCGCCGCCGGCGGCGCGCAGAGGGGAGGTGTCGGGGAGCCGGGGGTACCGTCCCCGCCCGCCCCGCGGCTCGGGGTGTGTTTTGCCGCCCGTACAAACTTCCCCGGAGCCGCTGCCCAAAGTTGTTGTAATTGTGTCACACCGCGGACCCCGCGCGCCGCCACCGCGACCCCCCCCCGTCCCGCCCCGCCCGCCCAGCGTCAGCGCGGCCAATCGGCGGCGCCGCCGCGCACCACGTGACCTTTGTTGACTTACGTCAGTCATTGCGCTCCGCCGCCGCTGCGCTCCGGTTTGGTTGGCCCTCGCCGCCCGCCTCCCCCGCCGGCCTCACGCCATTGGTCAGTAGGTGATAAGGGAGGTGGAGTTTCGGAGAGCCGCCGATTGTGATTGGTCGGGTGGGCCGTCAGTCAGACGAGCTTTTCGATTAGCGAGCACCAGCAAGTTGGGATGCGCCTTTAAAAGCGAATGGCGGGGGAAGGGGGGGAGATGTCGGGAGTGGCGGGCGCTGGGGTGGGAAGAGGAGGAGGAGGAACGAGGGAGGGCTGCGCTCACGGGTGGAGTTGCGTAACGGGGGCTCCGCGCTGGAGGAGTGGACGCCGCTGAGGAAGGCGCCATGTCCCACCGGCGGGGGGCAGTAGGCACGCTCGCAGCCTCCCCGCCCCGCCTCGGGCGTGGCGTTCTTGGCACAAACGGAAAATAAAAGCTTCCCGGAGCCGGAACGGAACTGAACGCGGCTCCGAGCGAGATGCTTGATGTGAGGGCAACGGTGGCACGGAAGGGCGGGGGCCGCCCCCGCCGGTGGTTTCGCCCACTCCCCCCCCCCCCCCGGGAGCCCGTGACAGGTGGAGCGGGCCCCGCCGGCGCGCGCGCGCCCTCGCGGCTGTCACGTGGCGCGGGCCGCGCGAGAGGCGCGTCAAGTCTCGCGATGCCTCGCGGGCCGCGGGGCGTGAGGGAGGGGAGCGCCCGGCCCGGGCGGAGCGGAGCGGGAGCGGGAGCGCGAAGGGAAGGGAAGGGAAGGGAAGGGAAGGGCAGCGCCGGGAGCTCGGGCTGCTGCGTGAGTAAACCTCCGGTGGCTTCATTTGCGGGAAGGAAAGGGGGTTTGCTGCCTGCTTTCCCTGCTTCGTGCGGCTTAGCGCAGCTCCGACCTGGAGATGAAGCGTTACCTGGGCATCGTAGGCTGCCTTTGGGGATTTGAAGGGTCATCTCGTCCTTTCCCGAAGAGAAAGGGAAGGGCAGCGCCGGGAGCTCGGGCTGCTGCGTGAGTAAACCTCCGGTGGCTTCATTTGCGGGAAGGAAAGGGGGTTTGCTGCCTGCTTTCCCTGCTTCGTGCGGCTTAGCGCAGCTCCGACCTGGAGATGAAGCGTTACCTGGGCATCGTAGGCTGCCTTTGGGGATTTGAAGGGTCATCTCGTCCTTTCCCCGTGTGGGCAGGGACACCTTCCGCTAGACCAGCTTGCCCATCCAGCCTGGCCATGAACGCTCCCAGGAATGGTTCATCCTCCTCCCGTGCCTCCAGACCATCCTTGGGTTTCTCCACCCTTCCCAGCTCAACCAGGAACCCGAGGGACCGCGTTTCTCCTTACGGTACCACAGAGGCTTTAGGGCTTTTTGAGTAAGGTGCTTGCAGATTGCTCCATCTTGGCTCTGCTGGGGTGCGTACGAGGAGCTGAGCCCTGCTGTGTGAGGGCACAGCTCATTCCCATTTTGCTGGAAATGGATCAGAACACCCTCTGTAACAGCATCGTGTCACCTCTCTGGTGTCTGGGTGAAGCTCCATGTCTGGGCTGGCTTTTCCCATTTGAATTCCCTGTTTGATGATTACTAGGTGCTCTAAAGCAAAACTAAAGCCCTTTGGCTGCCTTTGGGAATTCAGTGAACAAGACCAAAGCCCAGGCCATGCTGTGGATGTTGCATCTTGGCTCTTCTGGGGTGTGTACGAGGAGCTGAGCCCTGCTGTGGTGTGTGAGGGCACAGCTCATTCCCATTTTGCTGGAAATGGATCAGAACACCCTCTGTAACAGCATCGTGTCACCTCTCTGGTGTCTGGGTGAAGCTCCATGTCTGGGCTGGCTTTTCCCATTTGAATTCCCTGTTTGATGATTACTAGGTGCTCTAAAGCAAAAGTAAAGCCCTTTGGCTGCCTTTGGGAATTCAGTGAACAAGACCAAAGCCCAGGCCATGCTGTGGATGCTGCTGCTTGCTGGTTCTCCTTTAATTGCCCCTCTCCAATCAGGCTCACAACACTAAAGCCCATTTCTGCCTCTTTAAGTGTTAAACTAACGTGTCAGTGATGTTTTTCAGGTGGATTCTTATCTGTTTCCTGGTCCTGATGGTGCAGGGATGGAGACCTGGTCAAGAGAAAGTCTTAAATAATGCAAATGAAGACTCAGAGTAGTGTGTCCATGCTGCTCTTAAAAGCAGACTCTTGTAATGTAGCTCTGCTTTCTGATGCAAATGCAGGAAGAACAAACAAAAGCATCTGGGTTGATGATGTTGCATTTCTTCATGAAAGAGTCAGCAGCCAGCTTGTTGAGAGTATTGGTATGAGAGAAGGCATTTGTGTTTAAAGGACTTGCAAGTCTGAAATCCAGATAAAACCCAAGTTATTTTTGGTTCTGGGAATGGGCTGTGGTCTGTTAGTAGTGGAAGCACTATGATCAAACATCTGTGTTCATCTGGATTGCCCATGGCTTCTCTACCATGGATTTTCCCAGCAGAGTTTGCTCAGATGCCAAAATCAGTGCCAAGAGCTGACTGGTTGGGAGTGTGCCATAAATGTGGGGTTTCTGTGCAGATTGTTTCTCAGTCTTGACTCTCAAGTGTAAAGCTTCCACTTTGGAGTATCCTGAGTGTAAATCAGCAGAAAGGAGAGTAGGCAAAACCATTTCTCACTGGAAGGAAGGGATTGCTGAAAAACAGAGTCCTAGTCCAGCTGGAACTTGTGTGCAGGTGAAGTCACAACCCCTGAGTCACCTCCCTGGTACTGTCAGTGCCACTCTTACCCCCCTTAATTGCTGGCATTGAACTTCCAGATGCCTTTATTTATTTGTTTATTTATTTGCTGTCACTTCCAGGTCAGGTAGGAGATTTGAAGGAGCAGTAGATCAGTCCCTGTTGGGTACAACTCAAATCTGATGGTTTCTCTAGTCCAGGCATACTTTGTCACCTGCAGCAAGATCCATCCCTGGAAAAACTGTGGTGTTTGAAGCTGGGATATCAGTTCCAGCTGGTTTGGTTTTGATTCCTGCTTTTGGGCAGCTGCAAGCCTGGACCAGCTAAGCACTGAGGGCAGAGGCCATCTCCTTCCCCAGGAGTCTGAGGAGGCTCAGGAGCCACGTGTGGTCTCTGCTGGTGCTGCTGTTTAAGGGAGGAGTTTGAGGTGTGGAGTCTCCATTGCGCTCCCAGTAGCTCAGGAGGCCTCTGACTATGAGGCAAACCCTTTTGCAGCAGAGCAGGCAAAATGTGATGAGACAGCCTTGGATTCCTGTGACAATGTGAGATGAAAGTATTGAAAGCAACAAAAAAAGCAGGCTGACCAACAGAACCCACAGGATGCCATTTTGTGTCCTGCAAAACATAAATCTAATACTTCTGTTGTTGCCATCTTGATAGATTTTAGTCAACCTGCCTGAAATATGGATATTTGGCTTGTGAGGGAAAGCAGCATAAACTAGTAAAATCTGCCAGTAGTTAGGGAGAAAGCACTTTCATTAACACTTCTCTTTTTCTGCTTTTGCTTTCTTTTACTCCAAGGTAAAAGAAGAAAAGCTTAAATTACTAAATTATTTTCTTGATATTTGGAACAAAAAATCCTGTGTGCTTTCTTTTTGTATTCTAGCAGTGGCTTTTCTATTGTCCAGGAGTTCATAGTACCATTACCTGCAATTTGCATGTTCCTTGTACTACCCTCATTAAAGTTCTGGTGGCTGTTGTGTGATGATCTCTGTTTTGACAGCATATGGTGGTCAAAAAAGTGGGGAAACTGATCTAAACCCCAAGGTTTTGGGTTGTTTTTAGTTGGTTTTTTTCCCACAGAAAAAGGCAAATGCTTTTGCTGGTAATAAGGAAAACCAATACATGGATAGGAGAATTATTATTGAAAATAGGAAAAAAATCATCACAATGCTGTTTATCACTATGTTGAAGAAAAAATTGCTTTTTAATCTCAGAAGTACTTTCCTAGCTTTGGGTAGTAAGGGGACTGAACTAGTCTAGGAAATCGGTTATTATGAAGAAAGAAAATACAGTGTTTTTTTAGTTAAAGTTTTTAAAATCAAGGCTAAATGATTTGGGTGTAGACCTTAATTATTATTGTTCTGTCTTGCTTGAAACGTGTAGTCATTTTTGTCTATTGCCCTCTCTGTCCTTGGTTAGCATGAGTTTAAATCCTGGATTGTCTTTGGAAGTCTCAATGCTGGAATTCATCTGGGAGTTCAGCAGTAATTCATGGTCATGAGAAATCCACACAGTCACCAGGTAAGCAGTAAAATCCATCCCTGTGCAGCAACATGTCAGCAGTTCAGTCCAAACATGGAGAACCATGGATTTGTGTTGTCACCTTAACTGCATTCAGAAAGGAGGGCATTTGGGGTGCTCTGTACATTTGCTGTGTGAGAGAGCCCAGTTGAACACAGGGATCTCTGGCTGAAGCTCTACCAGAAGAAGAAACAACTGTTGGAATATCTGTATCCTATTTTTGCAGTGTATTTATTTGTGTTATACTAACTGGCAGTTTCTGCTGACTTGGAGAAATAAATAATGTGAAAAATTATACTTGTCCAGGAGGTGGTTCCTTTACAGTGCTACTGTTGGTAGATTTTACATCTTTTTTCACTTGTGCCTGCACCTCCCACCTCCAGCACTTTTGGTTGTGTCTTTGGTGTGCATTCCAAATGTGGAAATGCTTTCATTTATGGTAATAGCTTTAGGTGAATGTCTGTCTTCCCCCTAGGAACCAGATGTGACAGTTTTTGACTTGCCACCTTCCAAAGAAATCACTTGTTTGACAGGAGATGATCCTGAACAAGGATCTCTGCTCTTCCAGAACAGTGCAGAGAAACTGAAATTTCTTGCATGTGTTTCCATGCAGAAATTTGAGAAGCTTTTCTCTGTTGAGAAGCTGATAATAAACTACTGTGTTTATATTAACTTGTCTTCAGATTGACAGTTGTAACTTCATAGAATTTGGCAAATGCTGTAAAGAAGAGGAAAAAAATCTCATATTTTTGTTTCTATGGTGTTTCTATATGTATTGACTTAATAATAGTTGCTGGGCTGATACCTTTGTAGCCTACTGGTTCTCTGGCTTGGAAGTGAAAAACAAATCACATTTATAAACCAGATCTGAGCAAAATTATGAGGATTTTTGTGTAAACATTTGAAAAAAGCCAATCCTGATGCCCAGCAAACCAGGTGAATGCATATCTTGTTAGCTTTTTTTAATCCTGGGACAGAATCCAATATTATCCAAAATGCTTCATTATCTGCTATTTTTGTTTTTCTCCAAGAACAGAGGGTGTCACATGCTCTCACTGGATTTAATTTAGTGTTTCATACACAAATCTTTTTGAGAAAGTATCTGGGAATTACTTACTTTAAAAGCCTCAACTGTTGTGTATGTTGCTTTTTGTTAACATTTATGTGCATGTCTAAAAGGACAAAATCTTCAGTAACCAATCTAAGCACTATTTTGGCTGTAGTCTCTCTTCTCTATTAATTTCTTACATCAGCCACTTCTAAAATCAGGTGTTTTGCACATGGTAGACACTAAATCTTGTAATGGTGCACAGGTGAGAGTTTTAAAGGTGCAACAGCAGAAGCAGCTTTGTGACATTGGGTGGGGCAGAGTCAAAGCCTCTGCTCAAGACTAAACACAAACAATGACAGTTCTCCATCCTTGTCCCAGCAGTTCAGGATTCCCTCTCAGCAATGGGTGAGTCAGGGCATTTCAAATGAAATAAAACAAAACATCATGCTTCAGTCTGCAGATTTAGTTGCAGATTTAGGACAACACTCTTACATTTTGAGTCTTCCCAAAATGAGGTGGCATTCCATTAATTTGATGTCAGGACACAGTGAGGTACTCAAAGCATGTAAATGTGTTCATCCCATGTAACTGGAAGAGAAGGAAAACATCGAACTGAAACTTTTTTTGTTCCCGTAAGTTTGCTAGTATCAAGAGGCAGGTTATGTTTAGAATTTCTCTAGGAGTGCTCCACTGCATCTTCTGCCTGTCAGTAAGAGTTGGATCAGGGCTCTCACAGAGCTGCAAGCACCAGGATGACGTGAGGAAGACAAGTAGTTTCTACCACAGCTTGACATTCATAAAATCCAAAGCTAGCCCTGCCTTTAAGTACATTTTTCCTTGCTTCCCCCTTCTGCTGCACTTCAGTTGAGAACCTGTGAAACAGGAAATCTCTAGGAATGATTGGGACAATTTCCCATCTTACAGTTTCTCAAGGTACAGTTTGGTTTCTCTTTGGAAGTTTGCAGTTGTGTATTTGTATAAATATACTCAGTGCTGCTGGAGTCAGTTTGTGAGATGTTCTTCTCTAATGGTGTTTTGCTTTGGTGTTTCTCTGTAAATGAGTCCTGTGGTGGTTTTCTCTTGTGAGGAAAGTCAAAACAGTGTTTTTCTCCATGGATAAGTAATCCCAAACTCAAAGCTGAGTGAGAGGAAGGAAATTGCCATTAGTCTCAATGAGACAAAAGTTTCTTGGGAATTGGGGTTGCAAAGGGAAGCTTCACTGCGAATCTGCAATGTTTTCCAAAGCCTTGATATCCTTAACTTGGTTCTTTTTTTGCCACTAGTGGATACACAAAATTTCACTGGAA